ACATGAGACAAATATAGGTGGCTTGTGGAGTTTGTGGATGTGATTCAATTTCTATTACTTTGAAACCGAGGATATTTGATTGATTCACACTGTTATAAAGAAGGAAGGGTAAAACATTGATAGCGATCTATATAATATCTTCTTCCTCTCCAATTTTTCATCTCACCAATGATGTCCGAAACCAGAGACCCCGTCTCGGTCGACATTGAGTCCATGCTCCTCACAGGACCGCCTTCCTCCCCGAACATCCCCACCATCTTCCGAGTCGACCACGACACGCGCCACGGCAGCGAAAACCTCTACGACCCAAAAGTTGTCTCGATCGGCCCGTTTCACCACCAAACAACCCATCTCCAGAAAATGCAGCCGCACAAGCTCGCGTACCTCAAGGGCCTGCTCAAACGCCGCGGTGAGTCCGTCGTCGACGAATGCGTAGCGGCCGTGAGGTCCCTGGAAGAAAAAGCCCGAGGCTCCTACTCCGAGACCATCGAGGTCAGCCCAGACGAGCTCGTGAAGATTATTGTGCTCGACGGGCTTTTCGTGGTCGAGCTGCTCCGAAAGAACAAGATGGATGATCTGAGGAAGCAAAACGACCCGATTTTTCGATATGATCAGGTCTTCCTCATGGTCCAGCGCGACCTGATGCTTGTCGAGAATCAGGTCCCGTTTTTCGTGCTCGACCGGCTTTTTGCCATGACGAGGGGCCAGGAACCAGAGGACAACATTTTTTACCTCGTCAATCTGTTTACGAAAAACATTCCGCTGTGGCCGAATGCCTCGGAATTTTTAGGCACGCAGGTGGAAGATAACGTCGACGATCATCTCCTCGGCCTCGTCTACAAAAACTTGCTATCGTCATTCAAGAAAAGGAAAGCTGACAGCGACGGGCCCATTGACGATATATCTCTGGCCGTAAATTCAGTCTCCGAGCTGAAGGAAACATGGGTCGAGTTCAAAAAGAGCAACTGCCTTGACATCACGTTTGCCGGGGGCGTCCTTAGAATTCCGAAACTCCGCGTGGAGGACGAAACCGAGTCGTTTTTGAGGAACTTGATCGCGTACGAGCAGTTTTTCGCTGACGGACGTCCAAAGTACGTGACGGACTACACCTTCTTCTTACATTGCCTCGTGAAGCGGCCGAGGGATGTGGAGATATTGAGGCGGCGGGGGATTTTGGATAACTATTTGGGTGGAGACGAGATGGTATGCCGTGTTTTCGGGAGTCTCGGGAGAAATGTCGTTGTGTCATCGTGGGATTTTCGGTACGCGGGTGTTTCCAAGGAGGTGAACGGATATTGCGGCCGGCGAAGGAATAGGTGGATGGCGGTTTTGAGGCGGGATTATTTCAATAGCCCGTGGTCGTTTATCAAGTTTTGTGCAGCTTCTTTGCTGCTATTGTTCACGTTGATACAGACTTTGTTTGCTGTCCTGGGTGATGGGAAGTTCAAGTCCAGTATCTGAAGAAGGTATGGTGTGATGTTTGATTATGAAAATGTGTTATATTTATTGAAGAGGCATAACCACCTAAAAGCATAAGTGATAAAACTAGACGTGAGGTTCATAAAATCCTGAGGTTCATGTTACTAATCTATCTATATCTATATCTATCTATACTATTATAAAAGAGCCAATGAATCTGTAAAAATTTGATATGCCTAAAATAACCTTATTTTGTCATGTTTGTAATGACAATTTTGTAAACTAATCCCTTTTTCTGTTTGTTATTACTATTATAAAAGAGCCAATGAATCTGTAAAAATTTGATATGCCTAAAATAACCTTATTTTGTCATGTTTGTAATGGCAATTTTGTAAACTAATCTCTTTTTCTATTCAACAAACGCGTGCTAAAATTATTCCGTAAGGATGGTCATAGTTGGCGTAAGAGGAGAGATCAGAGAAGTATTGCTGAAGCTCATGAACGGCTTAAGGTTGGTGAATTATATTTGACACTAACCTAGCTTTTCTTCTTCTTTTCTGTCATTAATTATCACTTGGAACTCAAAAGGCATCCTTTTGTTAACTGATACATGGTATAATACTTATCAAGAGAGAGAAAATTCTAATTTATGAAACAGTAAAGATTTGGCTTTTGTATTATTGGACCGACTTTAAGGCATAACTTTTATTGACCTAAATGCTTTAAAATAATATTATCTTTTACCACCAGGTATAAAACAATCTGGTTAAAAACTGAAGCGGATTAATTCAAAAATAAATTTAGTTGTGATATGCTTAAAATAACCTTTTTTTTTTTTGTCATCTTTGTAATAGCACATTTAAATCAAGGATATTTAAGCCAGTACCGTTCAGTCCGAAGCCTGTTAGGCTGGCCCGTTTAACTTGGGTTGGGCGGAATAACTGTTTGTAGAAGTAATTAATATACTCTTAGATTCCTTGTATATTATAAACAAATCCACTTCACATGTAAGTATGAGCCTTAACGGATTATTATGATTTTAAATATTTAAGCCAATCCAAACGAATAAAAGGAAGCACATGAGACATAGACCTACTACATGAAACATAGTTATAGAATTTATAATGATACAATATCGTAAAAACTTCCAAAACGTACAAAAATAAGTAGTAAAATGGTAATAGTAAGTAATAGTTCGAATATTTTCTTTTTTTTTTTGGATAAAAAATATGTTATTTAAGAGTTTGTAATGTGTGTTCATATATGACGTGTAGTTGTATATATGTAGCGGTAAATACTAAATAGCCGTTGAAACCAATCGCTAACTAGCCGTTCTAACTTTTTATATATTTTTATTCTTTTTATTTTTTTATATATTATTATTATTATTATTATTATTATTATTATTATTATTATTATTATTATTATTATTATTATTATTATTTACTGCATGCATAGCCCATTTACCCCGAGGTCTAGGGATAGGGTTAGGTCCCTTTATTGGCTACCCATTTAAATTCGAGTTTTTTTAGGCTCGGACGTTCAACCAAAAATCCATTAAGGCTAGCCCGTTTAACATCTCTACCATATTGTAAATTAATTCCTTAACATTCCTAAAAAGGAGAGGTCGTACACTCCGAATCACCAATTCCACAGCGAAAATTTCACGACACAAATTTTACGAGAAAATTTCACGAGACGCAACAAAATTGAAAAAGTTTTCTCTAAGAAAATTGCCAGCCGACAATCGAGTATCGGCTGCGCAATGAAAATTTCACGAGACAAAAGAATCTAAAAAAATCAGTTAGGGATCGAATAAGGCCATCCGGCGATTGAGTATCGACTGGTGAGCGAAAATATTACGACAAAAATTTCACGAGACGCAACACAAAATAAAAAAGTTTTCTCTAAGAAAATCAGGCAGGGATCGAAGAAGGCCAGCCCCCAAAGTCGGACTACAAAATTACTCATTCACCAATCTCCTGATAAGTGTTTTTCTTGATTTCTATTTTCGACTGGTAATGGGGTTCTTCACACTCGATAGCCGGATTAATACAAGGCTCTCTTGACGAAAATTCTGGCCGATTAATGAAATCAATTCTTATATGTGCATTAACCGAAGCCCACAGCCTTGTGCAATCGATATTCTTGCTTTGCTTTGTTATTCAATAAGCTCTAACATCCAATTCAAATATCTTGTTATTTAATTAGTGTGTTTTTATAAGGTACTATGTTGGCCATTTTCTGAAAAAGATCCATCATATAGGGCGTCATCAAGAATGATCCACTAAGTTGCCACTTTAATCAAAATTCATACAAAAACCAAGATAGTGTACAAAAAGTGATCGTCATTTTTAGTACACTATGTTGCATATTGTACGAGTTTTGATTAAAAGTGGCAACTTAGTGGACCATTATTGATGACACCCTTTATGATGGGTCATTTTCGAAAAATGACCAATATAGTGGACTAAAAATGAAATTTATCCCTCGATTGTTTGATGAATGCCGGTCTTTAATGCAGTTTTACTTTTTATGTGCTTTATGATGTGCCTCTCCTTTAACCAAAAGACCACTATGTTCCACCCTTGTTCGTTATATAATTGAATAGTTGTTTTTGTTTAAATCCGGCCTGTAAATTAACTCGGGCAGGTCTCTGGGTCATCGGGTCACCGGTTCAACCACTGGGTTACGGGTCAATTGCTGAACATGATAGGTAATTTTATATTTTTTAACATTACATTGATATGGGATATCATATCTCAACGAGCAAACTGATCCAACGGGGGGGTCGAATAAAGCCGAATATAGATGAGGCAAAGCCAATCGAAGAGATAGGGGGAACACGACCACAGTTGGATTACCTCAGGGTTGAAAGGATGAGAATTTTGATACATAGAGCAGCCTAGAGAGCAGAGAAAGTTGGTCGATATGGGGAGAGATCGAGCAAAGAGTCGCCCAGGTGGTCGACACAAAGGTTAGGGGTGACCTGATGGTCGAATACCCAGTGAGGAGGACAGGATATGAGAGATTGACTTGGATAAGGTCAACTACAAGAGTCTCCAACGGAATTGTCAGAGTGACGTAAGGAGAATAAAGGGGGGAATATTTTACCCATATGCAGAGGACACGTGTCAAAGAGATATTGGTGTAGAGGATAGTGGCGACGGCTACTTCTGACACATGCACACTGTGTGTGTACGGACGGGTAGTTGAGGCAGACAGCTCATCAAATCTCGGCAGCCCCTAAGTCAGGTATCTCACCCATATAAATAGGGGGTAAGTCTTTCTTGCTAAACACGATCATTCTATTTTCACTCTTGAAAATTGATTGAACAAACACTGACTTAAGCTTTTGATGCTCTTCACTGAAAAACCCTTCAGGTGTGAGAATTCTTTGTAGGTGCACGACGTTCAACCAGCGAGAAGGACGGCGATTACTCGGATTCCAGCTGGTCGGAGAGTTTTGTTTTACCATACATAAATAGTATTTTTGACATATCAATATACATAAAAGTAACAAAAATAAATATTTTGTATATAAAATTTGTACATCAAAGTACTGTTACAAGAATTGTATCTCACAATAAATATTTACTATATCAATATATTTACATAGTTTTATTTTATTATATAAAAAAATATTTAAAAAAAAAATAAAAGAAATATATAGGACCGGGTCAAGGCCGGGTTGGCTGAGTTTTGACCGGGTTTGACCATGTCCGTTGTTACCCAGTCCAAATAGCTCACCCTGACTTGTTCCAGCTCCGGGTCAGCCGGATCCCGAGTCGACCCGGCAGGTCGGTCCGAATTGGAAAACAATGGTTCAAATACACACTCACATATTGATTTATGATACAACCTCAAGAAGTATTATGCTCAAATACTTTAATATTTATTAATGAGTATTTAATTAATTAATATGCACTTCATACTTTCATATGAAGTTCTCTATATTGTCCCAATGTTTTGTTTTCTTTCTGTTTTATTATTATTAAACAATCAAGAAGGAATACTTATCTTAAATTTTCGAATCATTATGTATGATGCAAAAAGTTAGACAATAAATGAATTAAATAAGTTATTAGACGTAATATTGCAAATTCGAACGAATATGAAAGTATTACGATAAAGTACTCTAAAATCATTGCAACAACCAAAATATTCAATGATTTGCAAATGATAGGTTTTTTAATTCGTGTATCTTTCAAACAAATAACACTAAAAAGGGAACGTTTGATTATGATAAAAATATTTTTAAATGTTTGAATAAGTTGTCACTTTTTTAGGAATATTTACAATCTTAATTGTGTATGTTCTCGATCATGCGAAATTACTTTAGAGTACGCTCTTTCATGTAATGTGTGATGATTTCAAAAAATAATTTAGCATCTTCGAAGAGGTACATGATTTTAAAAAGTCAACTTTATTTGGAGATGAAAGTCGTTCACACCACATGGGGTATGTACTAATTTATCAATATAAAGAGAGAGAGAGAGAGAGAGAGAGAGAGAGAGATTAATGTAGTCTTTTATACAATGATTAAAAAAATATCAATAATATAATGGCACAGTTGATTATTTCACATAGATATTTATGAACCGTTAGTAGAAATGTCTTATAATGATCATACAATCATGAAGTTTGACTATATGTTAGGGTAAAATATTTTTAAGTA